AGATGGGTATAAGAGACAGCAATAATATCGAATATTTAAAACTAATAAATCAGTTTTGTGTTTCATTTTAGGCCCAAACCTAGGCTAAGCACAGCCGCCGAAAATGATGCATGCTGTGTGTCGCCTAGGCCTAGGAATGCATTATCATGTGTGTTTGATACACGTCCACAAAAGCTTAATAGAAATCATTCAAGTGTGGGAGAAGCATAAATTAATTACTTCCCTCCACTCCACGGGAGAAACAATCGTACCCTACGGGCAACAGACGCGTTACAAGCGGCCAGGTCCACGGATCAATTTTATCCAAGTGGGACCGATTTTAGCGGCTAAAATCAACTGATGGACCAATTTTAGCGGCCAAAAGTAGTCCGGTAGACCAACTTTGGCGGATAAAATCTGTCCGCTGGACCTTTTTTTGGCCCGGTCCAATTTTGGCGTGACACTATACAACTTTGATTTTTAATGAGATACTGTAAGCTTTTAACAGACGGAATTGCTTCAGTGCCTGCATTTATGTTGTACCATGGTTATACATTGTTCAGTATGGTTTTTTTTCTACTTTAGTGGAGTGTACACACAAGTCAGCACTACCTCCAAATCTTGGCTCTTCTGTCGATGAAGGCGTTAACATTAGACCTACCACTTGGTGTGGACGTTTGCGTCTATTTTGAGTAGAGTCATAATAGTAAAATACTGTGTTTTTTAAATAATAAGCCTATTTTTAAGAATAATATAGGCCTATATGTTGCACAATTCAAGACCTTATTTGACCCTAATATATTACTCCTCCCTAGATTAGTCATTCAAAAACGTTCATATGAATGTTGTTGGAATAAACGATAAATGTGAAGAGCAAACTTTCTTCAAATTCTTCAAAAAAAAAATTTAAAAAATTAAGGCTTTGAAAATTGTAGTGTTTTAGTCGAAGATTGGAAAATACACAAAATACCTCTTCGTAGTTCCATACCTCCATAGTAGTTCGTATGGAATTTTTGTGGTTAGGGTTTTACAGGCCTATCTAATGCCGTTGGCCCTAGTCATAATTATGCCCCGGCATTCAAAGGCCAAAGTTTCAGGGTTTGTTTTTTTTTTTTTTTCTGGTAATCGCTTTTACCATCACCCTCGACAGTTTTTGTTTCCCTTTACAGAAATGAAACAATATCTGATTTTCATTCCCCAATAAAGCATTTCGTTGACTTACTTTTTTATTTACCATCTCGGGGCTACGTTTTAGAAAACTGACAAAAGGACCAACTGGATAAGATAAACTAATTGTTCAACTTCCAATTATTATGTAATTACACTTTAGTAAAATTTACCAAAGTACAGTTCAGTAGGCTTAGAATCATAACAACTGTGTTCGGATTGAGTTTGTTTCATGAATCCATCAGGAATTTCCGATTTCATTGTTTCGCAGTGCTCTGTCAATCAATTCAAAAGCAACGGGAACTACCTCATGTAGGCTTATGTCTTGTCAATGAGTGAATTATATAATCATTATTAGTAACATGCTGTCATTGTTATAAATTTGCAATGTTATATTCTAGCCTACTATAAGATACAGTAGTATAAAACTATAAAAAGTGATGCTTTTTTAACAATTATATCCGTTCATCTTTAGGCAAATGTACTAACTGTAATAAGTTGCTCGACCAATTCAACGATAAGTAAGTTTGAAGGTTGAATTGTGATTAATAACCGGATTTTTACAAGCGAAAGCCAGTTGGCGGGTGCAACAAGACTGAATATTTAGGAAACATCTGTTGTTTGTCGCATGTATAAGAACTCTGAATGGTTAGCATAGTTGCCATTCACACGTAACTATGTTCACTTTATTGTAATTTTCTTCTGACGTTTTGCGCGAACCTAAAGTAAGCCTGATATATGTTCACTGAGCTTTTACATTATAAAACAAGTGTGACCTCATAAAACACACACATTACCTTTTAACACGCTACAAGTAAGGAAGTGCTACCACTCTCTGCTACAGGAACATAGAAATATATTACATTTGAGTACACATCCAACAACAAGCAGATCTCATTCAGTATCCAGTATTTAAAAGCTTGCTCTCTGTGGGGTCTATTTTTACCGCAGACGGTAATTTTCCGGTAGTAGCATTCCATTAAAAAAAAAGGTTAATCATTACATTTTATTGATATCGTATACAGTAATTTGTATTTGTATTGATGTTATGAAATTGTCAATAAACAAATTTTGAACTTGAATTGAACTTTTACAAGCGGGAAATAATTCGAACCATTGTTGATTCTAAATATCAATGGGACGAAGCTTTCCGGCAAGAGGAATAAACATTTCCAGCAGCGTCCAGAAAAGAAACATTGTGACATTATTTTGAGTAAATATCGAGCTGTTCTGGGACGTTTTATGATCTGACCAGGAAGTTGTTATTTGGTCCCGAGGAGTCGTGGCCGACGGATGGCTGGGCCTGTATGACGAAGGAAGGCTTAATCTCATGTATAAAATAGTATTTTTTTAAATAGCTTAGATTGATCCGAAAAAAAATTGTATTTCGGCTATGCTACCGATACATATTTCGTAATGTAACGTTCACTTCTATTGATGTGCTACTACGATTAGTATTATAGTAATATTATGTTTATGACATTTCCTTACAGAAAAGTCCGCAGCCGGCAGAGGACGAGATGAGTTTGCCAGCGATGCCAGGCGGTGTTGAGCAGCTTTTTATACAGGCCGTCCAAAGGGGTGACCGTAAAGCTATAACGTTTGCTCTAGCCAACGCTCCGGATCTCAATATAAACTGCGTGGATTCTGAAGGGAAAACTGCTTTGGTGCTCGCTATACAAAATGGAAATTCAGGTAAATTACCGGTATACATTATACATTTGAGTGTGTACTGTAGTGCAGTCTATTTTTTTAACTGACATTAACGTAATGTTGACTGTGTGCGCGCGTTATATTCCGACATATATTAAAATCACGCTTATCAACTATAATTATCTATTTGTGACTGTAAAATATATACCGTAGGTCTATTTATTCGAATAAACGCCCCAGGGCGTTTATTATTGAAAAGAGTTTTTGAGGGGCGTTTCTTCAATAAAGATGTTTATTCGAGGAGGCGTTGATTTTTTGGTGTAAAATGGATACGTATCTTCTGAAATAAACGCCCCTTCATTTCTCTGTAAATGTAAAACTGCAACACAACTTACCGTCAAAATTGTTAATGTGTGATCCTAAAGACTTGGGCCTATTAATCCCAACCAGGGGGAGGGGCGTTTATTTGAGGAAAAAATAAACGCCCCGGGCGTTTATTCGAGGGAGTTGTTTATTTTAAATGATGCTCTGGAGGGTGCATTTATTCGAGGGGGTGTTTATTCAAAGCGGGGAGTTTATTCAAATGAATACTGTATGTAATGAAAAAAGTTTTTTTTGAGTACCGTGTGTTCTCAGAAGAACGGGATTACCAATAGCAAATTTAATCACATTCAACTTCAGTGGTTTCAACCGCAGTGAACTCTAAACCTGATGTAATGTGCAAAAAGAATTATAATTACAAGAGCATATTGATCTATTACTTTATGCAGTTTCCATGTATTTACATGGATTTACACAAATGTTGGAAAATGTGAGCAGGCTTATTAAAAGGTCATATCGTACTAGACTGATCATCCACCAGCCAGGACTTGCATTACATAAATGATATAGCGCACAATTACTGCAGCAAATGGGAGAATGCTGTAGATTTCTATTGTTTAAGTTAATATGTGATTAACATACAGGTCATTGATATTTAGTGACAAATACCAAACCTAGGTTTCTAAATATCGATTTAAATCGGAGTGTCCTGGTTTTGTTTTCAGGCTATCATGCAATAAATCCCAATTTTAAGAATTAACTCATTATTTTTAAATGTAATATTACCTTTCCCAATCGAACGTAAATTAAGTGACCATTCTATAATGGTTTAGATAATTCAAAATCCACACAAGCAGCCTAAAAAAACAGTTTATTCAAATTTAGAAAATAGGGCTACGTCCATTCTTTACACTGGTTCTTAGCGAACGGGTCGAGCTCGCTAGTCAAAAGGTTTCCTATTTATATCATTATTCACAAGGTTCGCTAGTCATAACATTAGCTTACCCTATACCATAAGGTCGCTAGTCATAACCAAGAAAATGATTCGCTATTCATAATTGTTTAAAAGGGCCATTGGTTTCTGTAGTCATAATGAAGATTAAGATTCACGAGATATAATTCTTTAAAAGGACCAATATTCACAAGGTTTGCTATAATCAATAAAAAGGTTGGCTAGTCAAAATGTAAACGAAGGAACGCTATTCATAAGTTTCGCTAGCCTTAATATAAAATGAGGTTCGCTAGTCATAATATAAAATGAAGTTTGCAAGTCACAATAATCCTCTTTGTTTTAAATTATGGCTAGCTAACCTTACAATTAATAGTACATATGACGAACTGACCTTATGAGTGGACCTTACGAAAAGCGAACCTTATGAATAGCGAGTGGACACCAGGTACGGTAGACTTGTACGTAATTCCCATTAAGGGCCGTGACAACCCTGTAGTGACATAATAGATTGATGTATGACTGTCTCTTATACACATCTAGATGTGTATAAGAGACAGATATATTACTCCTCCCTAGATTAGTCATTCAAAAACGTTCATATGAATGTTGTTGGAATAAACGATAAATGTGAAGAGCAAACTTTCTTCAAATTCTTCAAAAAAAAAATTTAAAAAATTAAGGCTTTGAAAATTGTAGTGTTTTAGTCGAAGATTGGAAAATACACAAAATACCTCTTCGTAGTTCCATACCTCCATAGTAGTTCGTATGGAATTTTTGCAGATTATATATGTATATATATATATATATATATATGTATATGTATATATATGTATATATATGTATATATATTATGGCAATTCCTTTATATATATATATATATATATATATATATAATATACACAACATTGATAAGCGATTGCCATTGTTTTTAGTCCAGATGTGCCTATACATAAATCAAATCAATCAATATAATTATCAATGAGATTACTGTATTCAGTAATACATTCAAGTAATTATGTGAACCATAATAGGTGAATATATTCATGAGAACTAATAATAGTACAATCATCCTACATATTGCCCAGAAGTGATTGTTTATGTTATTAATTAAGTTGACAGTTGATTTAATACTCAAGGTACATTGCACTTATTTTTGCATTTAAATTTAAACCATTCTAACAGTCCCTACATTAACCAATTTGCTTAAAATGTTTGTCTTTTGTACTTCCGACGTATTTTAGCTGTTAATATATATTGTCATCAAATATTTCTGTTAATTGTTGATTGTCACGTCAAGTACGGTATGTCACGGCAACTTTCAATTAGGGTCACATTACTACTAAGGCTAAATAATTATGTGATCATATCCTAACGACCATTATAATGTGCTCAATGTATATCAGCAATGTATTCATTAATGTTACTTTAGAAGGAAGAGCTTTTATTGAGTTGTAATGTTGATTGTAGGCCTATTGATATCGGTTGCAAAACCCAACTAGCGTACATTCCCAATCACAATTTTATTCCATATAAAATATTAAGTTGTACAGTATTTGGATGGAAGTTATTATCTTGAGCTAAACTGGCTGTGAACTTTATATCTTAGCCTACTAATGCAAAAAGTTGCGAAAGCACAATTGTCTTATTTCCCTTGGTACTTGTAACAATTACTCAAGAACGTTGCAGTGTTCGTCATATTTTGTACAAAATAGACATTGGTCTATAATACACTCACGTCGAGTATAGATGGTGCTATACATCCATGGAGGAATAAGTTTTAGATACATCCAATATTGAACAGACATGAAATGCATTAACTAAAAACACACCGACAGGTCGTGAAAAGTCGTTTAACGGAGACGATGTATTATCTCTGTAGGTGATGACATCCATCGTCATTATTGCCTATTAATCACTTCTGCAATACGCCATATCAAATTCAACATCATAGTTCATAGAATTGTTGTACATGTTGCCTATATTTCATGTGAAGTTACTGGTGTTTTTAATGTTTGTATTGTTATAGGCCTAATTTTACTTAGAAAGGCGACCACAATGTGTCTCACTTGACACTACACGATACACAATGTTTTGTTGTTGTAAACAAATACAATGGCGTGAGGGTTGGCGGTCGTACAGTAGACGAAAGGTAAATCCTGGAGGATAGTTTATCATTTCCCTTTCAAATTAAACACGAAACTGATACTTGTTTAATTTAAATAATATTCTGTGAACTTAAATTTGCTGGTTGAGTAAACTTGGCCCTAGATGTTTTCCGCTTTGTTATTCACGCAAATGGGTAGGTTTCGACTCGCAAACATCATTTTCTTTATTTTCGTAAGGTTGCGAAATCTCCCTACTAAAAAAAAAATAAGGCGAATCTTCATAATAATATTCAATATTAACATTTTTATGGAGATGATGAGACTGTTCATCCACCCCCAAGGGAAATTGGTAGGCCTATGTGAAGCGTATCATAATAGAGGTGGGCCTTTCACATAGGTCTATAAGAAATAATTACGTTAATGGCTGATAAGCTCAGACCTCAATTTATATTTGAAATTGCTAGAGAGAGAGAGCAGTCACAATTACTGCATTAGTGTGACAATGTCGATGATATCTAGCGCTTCAGTGATTTACAATTACTCTAATTAGGCCTAATATCTAAATAATTAATCTGCATGTAAAACAGTTACACGCAATTGTATTGAAACCCCACCCTATTATTCAGTTCGAAATTATGTGACAGATTTCAAGAAATGGTTTGTGTCGTAGGCCTATGCTGAATTACGTACAGGTGTATTGTTATTATAATCATTATCACTATCATCAATATAATCACTTTCATTATTATTATTATTATTATTATTATTATTATTATTATTATTATTATTATTATTATAAATATTCTTATTATTAATAACCAGTATTAGGCCTATTGTTACTATTCATTAGCCACATCAGCCAAAAGTTACCAATACAGAACCTAATAAATTATTTATGTTATAGCAATTTGCAATCCATTTAACATGAATACGGTATTCTGCATAAGAGTGGTGGCGCCAGAATTGGTGTAACGAAAGGAGGGTGTGGGGGATGTGGAGGTGTTGTTAGCGGCGATATCATTGACCACTGCGTAAGTGGGGGTGGTCGGGCGTGATAAAATATTTTCTTGAGATCTGATTGGCTGCGCAACAAGTAGAAACTGTTCGTAGTGAGCCACAACAAGAAGCGGAATATAGTGCGCTTCCGTACGGTCGAACGCTTTTGCTTCTCGCGAATAAATTCGCACTGTGGAAAACCGACTTGAAACCGCGCGTGCGTACGGTCAAGTGCTCTCGTTTCCTTGAATAAAATATGCCTAGTGGAAAACCGCCTTCAACCTGGTTGGTAATTGTCGACCGTAGGCCTACTGTGCCTTAGGCTTCAGTAAGTGTATGTCGTAGATTATACGACCGTCGTAAAAATACGTCTTTAAATACTTCCTTCCATGATAATATATCCGTTCGTAATGCTAGTAATGACATCATTTATATAATGAATGATTCTATTGACAAGTATTTCCATTAGAAAGAAAACCATGTATTGCGACGGATATCGTGCTTTCCTGTCGTGGGAAGTGATCATATATCTACACAATTATACGCTTTCTTTGGTACAGTTTATGTTTTCATAAATCAATTGAAACTTATCCATCGATAAGTTAGATTGTAGCCTAGTAATTGACTCGATCGCAGTTACGCATTATACTGGTTGAAATTGAATGATG